ACCCAACCCGTACCTAACCCGTACTTTCAGCATGGGTAAAAATACCTCGGGTTTTGTCGCCCTAGGCTGGTGGCAGTTGCCCCCGCAGCCCAGTCTGCGAGGCGCAACTAGTTGAGGAAGCAGAACATTTGGCCGTCCGATGCCACCGAAAGCTGTTGCCGCGTTTGCGAGGGCCCGCTGACAGCCACGGCTTGTGGGGGGGGCGAATCCTGACCAGCTGCTGTGCAACAGTGACACTCTAAATGTAGCTTCAACGCATCAAGATGTGTCAAGCCGAATGATGAGCATGCAACAATTGCATACAATTTCCATGGCTTTGTCAAACAGAATTTGTTGCGTGATGTGATACTGTGATGTGATTTTCTTGTTTTGAGTTGCACCACAGTCTTATAAGCAACGAGCACTGGCCGCTCCGTGGAAGGCTCTTGATGAGTCCTGCACCGGTCCTGACGTTGTTGCACGAAATTTGGCGCAAACTGCGACCGAAAGGCAAAGCGCAGCGCTGCAAGGGTTTTATTTTGGATGGTTCTACGATGTGCTAATTACACCTAGAAGCAGGGCCTGGACGTGCCTGGACCAAGAAACTATGTTGTTTTTTTTTTCTGCTGAGTATATTCAAATCGTTCATGTATTTGAGGCAGGCCTTGGGGAGAGTTGTTCTGATTTTGCGCTGTATTTGTTGTTTGTTTGAGATGCCATCGTTTCTTGTTGGACAAATCAGTTTGATGATGTTTTGGCATCAAATGGCCCAGCCTTGCATTGCCTTTGAATCATGTTTTTTTGCTACGCTGGTAGGTTGGGAGCATCTCGCTCAGCAAGCAAAAGTCCGGCAACCAACGTCTCTGACAGTCAACGCTTGCTTGTGCGGCTCACACGCACAAAACATCTGCATGTTGGAGTTAGCTGTGAGAAAGGGGCATCGGAAGTTGCAGAAAATCCAGTGAATCAGAAGGACCAGAACCATGCAGAGGTGGATAATCGCAGGTGATCCGTGAAACATTTTGAAATGCATAGTTACAGTTGATCCCTTGTACTTGGGCAGTTGAGTCAGGTGAGCTGGAGTGGGAGATGGGTTTGGGTGATGCTACCAGCCGCTGAGCTGCAGGGGCCCGCTGTGAAAACTCGTAAAGAAATGCTTCCAAGTTTGTCCTATATCTGTGGTCCTTGGATTGAAATTGATTCTGTACCTGCATTTCGGATGAATTTGGGTGGTTTAAGTCGTTTTTACCCGTTTTTACCCTTCGTTGTTTCACATTGTTTGTGCAATTGATATGATTTCGATGGGTCAGGGGTCCCTATCTCTGGAGCATAATGGAGCCATGCTGCTCATGCGATCCGAGCAGCCAGGGGACCTGGAAAAGTTCAAAGAATGCTTTGGCAAGGTGTCCTCAATCTATCTCAATATTATATTATATTGATTTATATTGATTTATATTGCATTTTTAATTGCAGCTACTAGTGCCTTCCACATGTTTTGATGTCAGCTGGTGTCAGGCCAGTGGGAGATTCTCAAGCATGAGAAATTCTGTTTCTTTTTGGCACATTTTGACTGAGAGTCATGCGGAGTCTTGTTGTAGAAAGTCCTGTCCACACTCCCAAGGCCCCAAAAATGCAAAGATTGTGCATTTTTAAGGCCAGACTTCTTTGGAGCTTTGCTCAGAACACATCCCCGAGGTAGGTTCTGCAAATACCTTTTAGCTTGGACCAGCCATGTTCTATATATAGTATTTCATTGCATTTCTATGTAATATCTTCTAATTTTAGTCGTTGAGCGAGGTTCCTTCCAGATTTAGTGAGTCGTTTCAAGCCATTGCGTCTCAAGGCTTCCGGCTCCTCGACTTTGCGGTGATGGGATATGCTGGTACTGGAAGGGTGGGCCAAGAGAAATTAATTTGCAATATCTTGGCAACTCATGGATGGGATGAATTTGCTCATTTTTTTTTTTGGATTGAAGCCACTTGAACATTCATGTACATTCATCAAGCGCAAGGCTAGAAAAGTCGGACTCTTGAAACAGATTGATAGGAAATAGAATCAACGATATATATATATAATGAATTATATGGGATTATAGATATTAAAAAAAACAAACATATAGATTCAGAAAACATATTTTAGTTTTTGAAGATGAAACATGTTTCTCACCTCCCAGTCCTCTTAGCTACCTTTGGAATCCTGGTGTCCCTGTTGGCCATACTGCCCGAGGTGCGAAGCAGCTTGGCATAGCTTGGCAGCGCCGCGGTGTGTGACTGTTGACATTTCAAATATGGTGAATTGTATCTTTATAATGGGTTCATATATGGTAATGTGGTAAACCCAACGTGATATAGATATCAGATGTTATAGTGTAAGAATGTATATAATTCGAACATACAAACATATAAAACCTCAATATACAGTTCCATATATGTGGTTTGCGTAGGCCCATATAAGCCTTAATCTCAATATGTTTCGTAATGGTAAACTGGTAAATCATCTGAAATATGGTGAAGCCCATCTTTGATAGCCTTTCATATAGGCCTTTCATGGCCCCAGAGCTCGGGATTGAGGGAAACTTGGGATGCTGCGATCCCTACGGCAATGGGGACTTCTTTTGCAAGACTCAGCCTGGATGCTATCAGGCTGGGATGGACCGCTGAATGGGGGAGAAAACGGAGAAAATGAAAGAACATGATGAGAAAATCATGGGATTGTGATGCCCTGTTCTCAAACATACCGTCACATACCCAGGTCAGGTTCTATTTCAGCACAATGAATGCTAGGCGCAATAGTGAAATACAGTGACAACTTGTGTTTGGCTTGCATGAAACCTTTTGGAAGCAAAAGTCCTTTCGCATTCCATCCCACAGTCCCACAGATGAGAAGCTAAGTGATTTTAAGTGTAGCTCGTGAGGCTTATGATAGCTGTTTTCCGCGGAAGTCAAAGATTGGAGGTCCAGGCCAAAAGAACTTGGGAGATCTTGGGAGCTGCAGTGGAAAAGAGTTGGTCTCGGATAGACTGAGATTGGACAAGACCGTTCTATTTTAAGTACGCAAGCTGAAATGCTGAAGTTGCTCTGCTAAGCGGGCTACCAGCTACAGTTTGGTTCGTGAGCTTTGTGGTAGCGACTTGTGATTCTGATCACCTGCTGGCACGCTGCAAGCCAGGCTTAGACTTCTTAATGGATGCTCAGAAGGACTTCTTGAACCACAAGCTGCAGGCGCTGGGCTTGTTAAGAGCTCATCACATCGGTTGAAAAGGTGTTGCACTTCCATGTTGTCACATTGGCGATACCGTATATGCTCCGTGATTCTTGCAAGAATATATGGAGTTCACTTGCAGTCAGACTCAATTGCATTAGAGCCGGATGAAACGATTGGAGTTCAATAGATTCAATAGATCAATGCTTGCGACTGTCCGCGCCACAACATGACACAACCATGAACAGTGGAGTTTTCACGTTGCATCACTGTTGTGACTTCACGTCATCACACAATCCCTCAGCCATGCAGGGTGGGTCCAATGACGACCTGATGAAGTGCCGGCAGATTGCCAGGGCCATTGAGGGAATGTCCTTGGAGACGAAGGCATGGTCTGGCGCATCAAAGGAGTCACCAGCGCATCAACGGCCTTCGCGCCACAGGTCTTAGATGTGGGAGCTGGCACTGCACCCTGCAAACCCATCATTCGATCCTTGGGCTATGGCTACACTGCCCAGGCATCAAGGGACGGCTTTCAGTTGAAACAAGTCGTTTCAGGATACGACAGGAAGATAAAAGGAACGGCCGCAGGCAACATGGACCGAGTTAATTTTGGAATTGAGTGGATTAGTATTTTGAGCACATGTTTATGTTTAGCGAGGAAGTATTAGCGAGGAAGTATTGGCGAGGAAGTATTGGACATGATATCCTTGGATCTCCATATGGTATAGGCCCCACCCTACCACTATGGACACGCTCCCTGCACCTTGGATAATCCGCTGCAGGATGCCAAAGAATACGTCGGCACCGAAGCCATTGCTGGGTCAGTTTTCCTGCAGCGTTGCTGCAGAGAGAGTCCCAAGACACGGAAAGAATAGGGATGTGACCTAACTATTGCGGCTTGGGTTGCAGATCCTCGAAGCAAAGGTGCCAATGGGCAAGAAAAGAATCTGTAACCAATGCGTTGACCACTCAATTTCAAGATGACATTTAGCGGCTTCGCCCTTCAATAGAATCCATTGTATCCCATTTTCTTCCTCCACACTTCACTATTTTGGTTTGGTTGGCCATATATCAAAATATCCCTAGGCACGGCTATGCGGACATTGACATCGTTTCGGATATTGCGGACATGCCGTTGCCCAACAAGTCCTTTAACGTCATCGTGTGCACCGACGTGCTGGAGCATGTCCTACGGCCCCGTGAGGCCATCCATGAGATGGGACGCCTACTGAAGAGACACGGCTGAATCAGGGCCAGTGGATGGCCATCAGGAGATGGAAACTTCTTATTGACTTACTGATTTTTAATGGGTGCTGAATTATCTGAATTGACCATGTGATTATGTCTGATATTGTCTGATTATTGGTGTCTCCTTCCAAAGATGGTTAAGACTCGACGTGTTAAGAGCGCAAAGATGTGTGTCAGCGCCTCCGTCGTTGCAAGGACTGGAGGTATGGCATTCATACAGGTTCCATTTGGAGGAGGGCGTGGCGTGGACAGTACGTGGACTGTGGTTCCATGCGCACTTGCCCGACTTCCCCTTCGATATCCTTTGATTGGAGAAATATGTCATCAACCTCTATCAGAATACTTATCATATCCTAGCATATTATCATATATTATCATATTTAAGGGCTGCCGCCCCTGCCGCCGACCCCGGAAGCAACTACTATCTCGCAGAGAAAGCCGGTCTATGAATATATATGTCCTCATTGTGAGACACAGGTCCGTAGTACTGTCACTGATGGACAAGTTGATGCGAAACAACAGCATTGTGGTGTCCGCTTCCGTGTTCGCGGTGGCACAGTGATTCAGAGCTTTTTCACACATCAGCGTCCATCATGTTTAACAGAAGTGCAAAGCACGAAACGCTTTGGCCGCATACGGGTAGCGCACAAAAAAACCAAACGGGAAAAGATGTGGAACAAAATGTTGGCAAGTAGTATGCTCCGGTACCAAAGACACGACTTGATCTAAGAAAATTGCAGCCTAACCCTGAAGCTTATGGACTGTCGAGAGCACAGCAGAGGTGGCACATGGTTGTTGTTGTTGTTGCTGCTGCTGCAGCTGCTGCTGCTGCTGGTGTCTAGCTGCGACGCCTAAAAGCGAACCACTCCCAGCGGCAAATGCCCATGGCAGTGAAGGATGGAAAGGTTCCGAAATTGCACCGCAAAAATGTCTAACGTAACTTCTGAAACCCATAGAAAATGATGATTTTAGCTACTTTTTTCTCCTGCTGCTGAAGACGCTCCTACTGCTGCTGCTGCTGCTGTTGCTGCTGGTGGCTAGCTGCGACGCCTAAAAGCGAACCACTCCCAGCGGCAAATCCCCATGGCAGTGAAGGACGGAAAAGCTTCGAAATGGCACCGCAAAAATGCCTAACGTAACTTCTGAAACCCATAGAAAATGATGATTTTAGCTACTTTTTTCTCCTGCTGCTGAAGACGCTCCTACTGCTGCTGCTGCTAGTGCTGCTGCTGCTGCAGCTGCTGCTGCTGGTGTCTAGCTGCGACGCCTAAAAGCGAACCACTCCCAGCGGCAAATCCCCATGGCAGTGAAGGACGGAAAGGTTCCGAAATTGCACCGCAAAAATGCCTAACGTAACTTCTGAAACCCATAGAAAATGATGATTTTAGCTACTTTTTTCTCCTGCTGGTGAAGACGCTCCTACTGTTGCTGCTGCTGCTGCTGGTTGCTAGCTGCGACGCCTAAAAGCGAACCACTCCCAGCGGCAAATCCCCATGGCAGTGAAGGACGGAAAAGCTTCGAAATTGCACCGCAAAAATGCCTAACGTAACTTCTGGAACCCATAGAAAATCATGATTTTAGCTACTTTTTTCTCCTGCTCCTGGAGACGCTCCTGTTGCTGCTGCTGGTGTCTAGCTGCGACGCCTAAAAGCGAACCACTCCCAGCGGCAAATCCCCACGGCAGTGAAGGACGGAAAGGTTCCGAAATTGCACCGCAAAAATGCCTAACGTAACTTCTGAAACCCATAGAAACTGATGTGATGATTTTAGCTACTTTTTTCTCCTGCTGCTGAAGCTGCTGCTGGTGGCTAGCTGCGACGCCTAAAAGTGAACTACTCCCAGCGGCAAATCCCCATGGCAGTAAAGGACGGAAAAGCTTCGAAATTGCACCGCAAAAATGCCTAACGTAACTTCTGAAACCCATAGAAAAGATGATTTTAGCTACTTTTTTCTCCTGCTGCTGAAGACGCTCCTGCTGCTGAAGACGCTCCTGCTGCTGCTGCTGCTGCTGCTGCTGGTGGCTAGCTGCGACGCCTAAAAGCGAACCACTCCCAGCGGCAAATCCCCATGGCAGTGAAGGACGGAAAAGCTTCGAAATTGCACCGCAAAAATGCTTAACGTAACTTCTGAAACCCATAGAAAATGATGATTTTAGCTACTTTTTTCTCCTGCTGCTGAAGACACTCCTGCTGCTGCTGCTGCTGCTGGTGGCTAGCTGCGACGCCAAAAAGCGAACCACTCCCAGCGGCAAATCCCCATGGCAGTGAAGGACGGATCCCTACTGCTGCTGCTGCTGCAGCTGCTGCTGCTGGTGTCTAGCTGCGACGCCTAAAAGCGAACCACTCCCAGCGGCAAATCCCCATGGCAGTGAAGGACGGATCCCTACTGCTGCTGCTGCTGCTGCTGCTGCTGGTGTCTAGCTGCGACGCCTAAAAGCGAACCACTCCCAGCGGCAAATCCCCATGGCAGTGAAGGACGGAAAGGTTCCGAAATTGCACCGCAAAAATGTCTAACGTAACTTCTGAAACCCATAGAAAATGATGATTTTAGCTACTTTTTTCTCCTGCTGGTGAAGACGCTCCTACTGCTGCTGCTGCTGTTGCTGCTGCTGCTGCTGCTGCTGGTGGCTAGCTGCGACGCCTAAAAGCGAACCACTCCCAGCGGCAAATCCCCATGGCAGTGAAGGACGGAAAAGCTTCGAAATGGCACCGCAAAAATGCCTAATGTAACTTCTGAAACCCATAGAAAAGGATGATTTTAGCTACTTTTTTCTTCTGCTGCTGAAGACGCTCCTACTGCTGCTGCTGCTGGTGGCTAGCTGCAACGCCTAAAAGCGAACCACTCCCAGCGGCAAATCCCCATGGCAGTAAAGGACGGAAAAGTTTCGAAATTGCACCGCAAAAATGCCTAACGTAACTTCTGAAACCCATAGAAAATGATGATTTTAGCTACTTTTTTCTCCTGCTCCTGGAGACGCTTCTGTTGCTGCTGCTGGTGTCTAGCTGCGACGCCTAAAAGCGAACCACTCCCAGCGGCAAATCCCCATGGCAGTGAAGGACGGAAAGGTTCTGAAATTGCACCGCAAAAATGCCTAACGTAACTTCTGAAACCCATAGAAACCGATGTGATGATTTTAGCTACTTTTTTCTCCTGCTGCTGAAGCTGCTGCTGGTGGCTAGCTGCGACGCCTAAAAGTGAACTACTCCCAGCGGCAAATCCCCATGGCAGTGAAGGACGGAAAAGCTTCGAAATTGCACCGCAAAAATGCCTAACGTAACTTCTGAAACCCATAGAAAAGATGATTTTAGCTACTTTTTTCTCCTGCTGCTGAAGACGCTGCTGCTGCTGCTGCTGGTGTCTAGCTGCGACGCCTAAAAGCGAACCACTCCCAGCGGCAAATCCCCATGGCAGTGAAGGACGGAAAGGTTCCGAAATTGCACCGCAAAAATGTCTAACGTAACTTCTGAAACCCATAGAAAATGATGATTTTAGCTACTTTTTTCTCCTGCTGGTGAAGACGCTCCTACTGCTGCTGCTGCTGTTGCTGCTGCTGCTGCTGCTGCTGGTGGCTAGCTGCGACGCCTAAAAGCGAACCACTCCCAGCGGCAAATCCCCATGGCAGTGAAGGACGGAAAAGCTTCGAAATGGCACCGCAAAAATGCCTAATGTAACTTCTGAAACCCATAGAAAAGGATGATTTTAGCTACTTTTTTCTTCTGCTGCTGAAGACGCTCCTACTGCTGCTGCTGCTGGTGGCTAGCTGCAACGCCTAAAAGCGAACCACTCCCAGCGGCAAATCCCCATGGCAGTAAAGGACGGAAAAGTTTCGAAATTGCACCGCAAAAATGCCTAACGTAACTTCTGAAACCCATAGAAAATGATGATTTTAGCTACTTTTTTCTCCTGCTCCTGGAGACGCTTCTGTTGCTGCTGCTGGTGTCTAGCTGCGACGCCTAAAAGCGAACCACTCCCAGCGGCAAATCCCCATGGCAGTGAAGGACGGAAAGGTTCTGAAATTGCACCGCAAAAATGCCTAACGTAACTTCTGAAACCCATAGAAACCGATGTGATGATTTTAGCTACTTTTTTCTCCTGCTGCTGAAGCTGCTGCTGGTGGCTAGCTGCGACGCCTAAAAGTGAACTACTCCCAGCGGCAAATCCCCATGGCAGTGAAGGACGGAAAAGCTTCGAAATTGCACCGCAAAAATGCCTAACGTAACTTCTGAAACCCATAGAAAAGATGATTTTAGCTACTTTTTTCTCCTGCTGCTGAAGACGCTCCTGCTGCTGAAGACGCTCCTGCTGCTGAAGACGCTCCTGCTGCTGCTGCTGCTGCTGCTGCTGCTGCTGGTGGCTAGCTGCGACGCCTAAAAGCGAACCACTCCCAGCGGCAAATCCCCATGGCAGTGAAGGACGGAAAAGTTTCGAAATTGCACCGCAAAAATGCCTAACGTAACTTCTGAAACCCATAGAAAACGATGATTTTAGCTACTTTTTTCTCCTGCTGCTGAAGACACTCCTGCTGCTGCTGCTGCTGCTGGTGTCTAGCTGCGACGCCTAAAAGCGAACCACTCCCAGCGGCAAATCCCCATGGCAGTGAAGGACGGAAAGGTTCCGAAATTGCACCGCAAAAATGCCTAACGTATAACTTCTGAAACCCATAGAAAATGATGATTTTAGCTACTTTTTTCTCCTGCTGCTGAAGACACTCCTACTGCTGCTGCTGCTGCTGCTGGTGGCTAGCTGCGACGCCTAAAAGCGAACCACTCCCAGCGGCAAATCCCCATGGCAGTGAAGGACGGATCCCTACTGCTGCTGCTGCAGCTGCTGCTGCTGGTGTCTAGCTGCGACGCCTAAAAGCGAACCACTCCCAGCGGCAAATCCCCATGGCAGTGAAGGACGGAAAGGTTCCGAAATTGCACCGCAAAAATGTCTAACGTAACTTCTGAAACCCATAGAAAATGATGATTTTAGCTACTTTTTCTCCTGCTGCTGAAG